ACACACACACACACACACACACACACATATGTGCGTATGTACATGCGACCGGCACGATACGTACACTCAGCGAGAACCGCTCCGACGCACGTCGAATTTAGCCATACATACATATACGCACACACGTGCTCACGTTGATCCATCGCGAGCTCTCGAGCTGCCACTCGCATATACATGTACCGGGTGTTAAAGGAAACAGCCGATAATGCAACGGGGAGAGAGAAGGATTCTTGCGCGAACTTTCGGTTCCGCTGCTTTTGTTTGGAAGGGAACGATTTGCAACGCGATAGACCTGATAAAGCGATTCAAAATAGAGCTAATATTATATTTATTGCATGAAAAATTTCTTGAACCTGTTAATTAGCTAACTCCACTTTATTGACAATAAGTGGAGTTTTCTCTAAAATTTTTTTTGTAATCAACACACTGAAAAATTTTCGAACGACAAATGTAATAGTATTCTAAGTTTCCTTTGCGACATTACAAATTGATCGCAACGCACGTTAACTCGATCAAATTTTATACATGACATTAAATTCGCGTATACTTGAATATAGTGAGATCATTAAATTACATGAGTGACAGAATATTAATTGCGACATTTTAATCGCCGTCTTTTCTTTATGCGCGATTGATTGTTTGACATCATGCCGCTTCGACGTGTCGGAGTCATCGAAGTCGACGCTTCAAGTGGAACGGCACATCGGCAAACTAATTAGTTCGATTAGCAGTTGTACTATCGAGCTCATAGTTGTGCAACAACGTGTTTCTCGAGAATTTATCATAATTCTGCGTCCCTATTTGTTGCCTCGTAGTATTAAACGCACGCTCGAGGTTCACGCGGGCACGCATTGACGAAGCAAATTAACGTTAAAGCTCCTAATAATATCATCACGTCACGTTCCGATCTGCAATAACGTTCCTCATCTGAGAGTGTCAATAGTACAAAGAACGATCTTAAATCTAGCAGTCTTTTTCTTTGCGATGTTGCACGACGCGTAACATGGAATAAGCATTACGAATCAATGAATAAAGTAGTATCCAGTAAAAAAAATAGCACTTCTTAGACAATAAATATTGATATTCAATCGATAAATTGATGTTATAATCAAAGTTAACATTTAGACAAACAACGAGTAAATACCAATGCGAAAGCGCAACGATTGCTTTACTTCGTTTCTTCGTGCAAACCGTCAAAATGGCCAGCGCTTCTTAAATCGAATCGAAATGTGCATCATTCACGAAGAAGTCGTTGACGCTTGTATTTCGGGTCGATGTTTTCACAATCGGTTAGTACGGCTGCATGTGCACGATGTAAAAGGAGGTCATGGTACAACCAAATAGCAATAATAATACAAGAACTATAAGTCTCCATTCCGCCATCCGATATTCTAAAACCTGAAATTCGAGTGCAACAGTTGATGCACACGTTGGCGACATCTGACGGCATGGTAAAGGAGACATCCCGATGTCTACCGTAGATCTCTGCGAGGTCGACGAGCATCGATAACTGACATTTATATGATTTTTTTGCCGATATACCCTTTAGTTTAATCGAGTGGACGGATGATTGAATATGCAGAAAAAACTTTTAACATTGATCGAAAATATCGCGGAAATAATATTAGGAATGACACGGCATATTATAGAAAAAAAAAAAAAACAGTTTTATATCATTTATATTATATCATTTATATTTGTTAAAGATTACATTTGCCAACTCTGATTTTTAATTCAAGAACTATAATAATTATTATGATAATATCTAATCAAGAATAAATATAATAATTAAGTATAATGTTCTCTCCTTTGATTTTCCCATAATTTTGTAAATTTATGAATTTTTATGCTTATATTGAAGGAAAATTATCGCACAAGTTTTTCTTTTTTGTGTTTCTTAATTTCAAAATTTTTTTACATTTGGATTTTAATTCACATAAAAGGAATGAAAAAAATATAAATTTTGAATCATAAATTATTCTCTGGTATAATTTAAATTATATAAGAAAATAATTTGTATTTTTAATTAAAGAAAATATGCGTATATATCTTTAACTACTACTACAAAGTATCATTATCTAACTTACCGACGTTAAAAATCATAAAAGTAAAAAAAGAAATAGGACTTGAACAATGATTTTTTTCTCAGAATATATTTTGAAACGCATGAAAATATATAAATTTACACATTACAGAAAAATCGAAAAAGAGAATATTATATTGCAAATTTATGTTAATTAATTTATCTTAATTAATTATATCTATAATAATCATCGTTATTATTATATATGTCTATATATGTCAGCCTGGCTGATAAATTTAATCAATAAACTAATTGATATATATCTTTTCCTTTTTCTTCTCTTTCTCTCAATGATATAATGCGAATAAAATTAAATAAAAAAAAATAATAATAATAATCTCTACAATAATCTCTACATATTCTATTTGTAAGTTATTTGAAGAATGCTTAAAATATATTTCAAGTCTTTTAGAATTAATAAATGCAGCATTAATAAAATTCAACGTAGCTTACATTTACCGCTTTCACCTGTAGACTTTAACCTCGCCCTCCATTCTATTCATCGGCAGCACCTGTTCGAATATAATACCTGACATTGCCAACAGAGAGCACGGCATGCTTACAAATAATGCCAAAATGTCAATATCTCTGAGACAAATCAGCAACTAAAATATATTCTGTATATTGTTTCGAGAAACATTATGATTATCTATCCCATATAAAGTGTGATTAAATTTTATACTTGAATTTATCCATAATCCAATTGGGTAGCCCGATGAGCGAAAGTTCATTCATTTTACGAGCGCTGTCAATGACCGCACGAATGACCGGAAATGACGTATGAACTGAGAGGGAAAATAATAATTTCGAGAGAAAAACACGCAATATCGGCAGATCAAGTCTACTTCAAGATTTCCGTGAGCTAGTTGAACCTGAACACGTCCTGTCGCGTTCGATCGAGCCACCTGATATCTCGATGTAACGGCCGCCATAGCCCGGAAAGGTGCCGCGTGGCCAGGTGCATAATCGCAAAGTTGGCGCGGCCATGTTGGAACATTCAAATGCTCATGGCGGCATTTTACGTTGCGACACGTCGTAAATGACTCTTGGGGTTGTGACGAAGACACGAGCGCTCATCTCGCGAATCGTCTTTATTCCCGCGACATGAATTACGAGGCAAATTTATGATGGTACATTCAGTCGAGACGCTTGACTCTGTGAGTGGATGCGCCGAATGCAGTACAGTCAGCGCCGAAAATAACGTCGGCGCGTGCCGCGGACGAGTCACATAGACCGTTTAGACGTGAAAATCGAGCAAGGCGCTTCATGAGAAAGCTCTTGGTCGTGCCAAACTGACACGATTATGTGACGATATTATCATCGTGCGACGCACCATTTCGGAGATATGCGCTCCCAAAGTTCGTTTATCGCGACGGGTCTACCGATACTTCCGAACGTTACTGTACCGCTGACACGATGAAGGAAACCGAGTGGTCGTTTCTACCGTCGCGGCCTGTTAAAATATCGCGCTGATTGGTCGCGATTACGCTTAAAGAATGACTTTTTCGATACGCGAGGAATTCATGGGTCACGAGTAAATTAACCACGTAACAATGTAATGCATTAAAAATTTTCTGCCGTTGTGTGCACATATATTTTGCGGTGTGCATACTTTTTTCTTCGAGACGACCGTTAAACGTTCAAGCATTTATTGCAGCTAGATAAAATTGCCAAAAATTAATTGAACAAACCATGCGAGGTATCAGAATGCTCGTGGCGACTTCTGTTTTTCTGCATCGATTACATTCGCCATCGCGAATCTACGCGCCTGCATTCTTTTTTTCTTTAATTATATCCCTGGAACACACGGAGCGTGTGGCGCGCGCGATTGTCATATGACGCGACTAGGCGCTCCGACGATGCTACGAAACTCAGAGTATACTTGTACAGTCAGTGACAAAAGGTTTGCGCGTGTCACGCGGCATAGCTGTGTATTGGGTCGGTTAAATCGCAATATTGCGTCAGGGGCGTCATGAGAAACTTGTAGAGAAAAAAAATTGACCCGATTTGGTGTATATAGTATCCGTGTTCATGCCCGCGTTGAGGAGTTATCGCAGGTAAAAGCCCGTTTTTTCGGAGGCGCTGCCGTTTAGGCAACGCGCGCAGACTGTACCGTGGACGCCACCGGCAGCCACGAGCGGCCGCTTCACGTACAGCCAATACCGAAAGTACGATCGGTGTATCGTGAGGAAACACCGAATTGGCACACTCCGATCGCCGAATTACGCGTGGGGCGTCATGAGAAACTTGTCGAGCGTAAAAAACTAACACGATTTGGTGTATATAGTATTCGTCTTGGTGCGACGGTTCTCGAGTTATTCGCGTTCGTAGGCGCGTCGTACGCTCCCGTATCGGGGCGCTTTCGGCGCTGGCTGTACCAACGGACGCTACGGGAGTCGCGTAGCCGGCGTAGGCTCAGTTGGCAGCAGTACGCATTGCGAGTAGGATCTACCACCATGGCCGATATTTCGAAGGAAGAGCTACGCAAGGAGATCACCGGTAAGTGGCGATATCGCGTGATGTAGGGAATCCCGGGCTCGGACTACCGCGGAATCGAGTCCTGCTCGGGCGTTGGCGCGCGTTGCGCGTCACCGTGGCATCGGGAATACAGGCGAAATCGGGGCCTTTGCTCTTGCGACGTGACGACTTTAGCGCGCACGTATGTGCCCGAGTGGCGTGCCCCACGCCGGCCATTACAACCACGGCGAGCCGCGTATTTCTCCACCTACGTATCGGACGAACGAATGGACCGACCGAGTAGCCGCCGCGTGCAATCCGCTCGCGATTTTTCGACCGGCCACTTCGGTATCCTGGCCCAAGTTCGGATTTTTCGTCGTTCGCTATAAAAAGATAGCTTTCTCGACCCGTCCTTGCGGCGGCGGGCCGTATGACGCGTCTCGAGTGTGTGGTGGCGCGCGCCTATCGGCCTCGCTCTCGTATTCGTGTCTTATTCCCTCTCTCTTTCTCGTACTCGGTACCGCGTCACGGCAGATTTTTACGCCGTAGAAGATAAAAAAAGTGCATATATTCTCCTGTGCGATGCTCCTTCGAGAAAGATACGTTCGTCGATCAGAAACGGACATACACACGCGCGCGCGTTGCCCTCTTTTCCCTCCTTTGCGCGCCTCTCGCGTATCGCCGATTGCATCGTCATTGGTTATAACCGGAGCCGCGCTCTGCCGCCCGCAGCCACAGCCATCGACGGACGTTAATATGCCGAGATATTCGCCAGCTCCGCTATCTTTCCCTATCTGCCGATGTAAAGCGCCCGTCCCTCTCGCCATTACAATCCGCGTCTCGTCCCCGTCGCGAGTTACAAAGCGGCGGTTGATGATTAACGAAGCGCGCGCGCTGCTGATACGCGCGCGTATTTTTCGTCAACGGTTTTCGGCGAGCGCCCTGCGAATCGACCGAGAGCGCGCGCGCGCGCGCGCGCGCTCGTACGTACGTACGTACTCGCGAGCATCCGCCTCCGTTTTCCCTCCGCTTCTCTCGCGCTCCCTGTTCTCTCCTCTCGGCCCTTCCGTCTTCTCGCGCTTTTCGATCGTTTCGGAAATCAATGCGCCGCCCGATCGACCGCGGCACGCGGAGAAAAATCCCTCCGCGTCTCGCTCCACGCGTCGCATCGACGCCTTGTCGCGTACTTACAGATATCTTTTTGTTACAGTCGCGCGCCGCTCCGATCGGCCGCGAACCGGCACGGCGCGCGCCACGGCGGCCATTTGCGTTCGATATTTACTAGATCCCCTGGACGCGGGAAACTATGCTATATCCCAGAACCCCGTGACCGAACACGGAGAGCGAGAAGCCGAAGCGTAACCTTACGTTCTCCGATGCGAATAGAGTCTAATGAATTTACGCGGTTCTTTTAACTTTTCATTTCTACCAATATGAATTAACTTTAATCTCGGTTTAACTTACTCCTTACGTTTTTTACTTTAAAAAAAAAAAATAAATCAAGATTGAAACTAATCTACATTTTAAGTAGAAGTAGATTTAAGTTATGACTTTTTTTTACCTCTATTACCTCTTATCCATCCCGAATAATATAATTTAAAACATTGGAATAATGCAAATAAAAATAAAGTTTTTACAAAAACAATATGCATTATATTTTGCATTATAATATTAATATATTTATACGAATTATGAGTAATTATTAAAACAAATTATTTCCTGATATTGTTTCTTCAAACTTTTCATATTTTTTTAATTTTTTAAATAATGATTAATATTTTATAATATATTTTTAATTACGATGTATAATTCATATCATTATTAATTTTGTTTAGCCATCCTCAAGGATGCCGATCTCACTACAATGTCTGCTAAAAAAGTGAGGCAACAAATCGAAGAAAAACTTGATGTTGATCTTATGGAAAGGTAAGCAATAAATAAATACAATTACAAATAAAATGTAGTTGTAGAAATATTTTTATTCTTATATTTTTGCATTTTATAATATTATGTTTTTAGTACATGATAACACAAACAATTAAATATTTATGTACATGTACAAATGAAAAAAAACGGGAATTGCTAATTTTGATATCAAGTCGATTCATATTACACGACGCAACGAAATATTTTTCTTCAATGTATAAATGCACTTATTCATGTTACAGCTGTAACATTTAAAAACAAATTTTTATAACTGACTTGTTCCTTATTGTTGTCTTTGCTTTTGTATCCAATGCATTCTTGCCACTGCAGGCTGAATATATATTTTTATGTATTATAAAAAAGAATATTGTATTAGTAATATGAGTTGATTTTAAACGTGAATAAAATGTTAATAAAATATCAGTGACGTTGATTCTAAATGTAAATACATATATGTGCGAGTATTTAATATAAGATAATTTTTTTAATAAAAAATAAAGCAAATTATCTCAGATTTATTTTAATAATTTATCATGTATATATGATTTGTAAACTATATTGATGAATTGTTTGTTTTTATGTATAACTTGTATTTAATTTTTTTATTTACTGAATTTTTATTATATATCTTTGAAATTGAATAAAAAAAATTTTGAAATATGGACATATATTAGGCACTTGTGCACTATGTAAAGTTGTGCAGAAGAGAGTCTCGTGATGTCCTAGAGTAAAACAGAGGATCTCTGAGTGGAACTGCAGAATAATATATATAAGTTACCACCTCGTTCCTCCTCTAACATGCTTTTATTTCAATTTTTATATTATCCCACTCTATGATAACAAATATTTATAAATTATTTCGTTTTTTTACAGGAAAAAAGAAGTGGACGATTTAGTCATGGAATGTCTTCAGGAAAAACAAGATGGAGGAAAGAAAAAAAAGAAGGCTGCTAGTGAAGAATCTGAAGATGGTGAAGAAGAAGAGGAAGAAGGATCCGAGGAGGAGGAGGAGGAGGAAGAAAAGAAGCCAGCTAAGCGAAATCCTGCTAAGAAGGCTCCTAACAAACGCAAGAAGGGATCCTCCGACGATGAAGAAAGCGCTAGTGATGATGACGCTAGTGACGAAGAATATAGTCCAAAGAAACCAAAAGTCACACCTAAAAAAGTAAAAATATCTTTTTATTTTAATGTATCTATGTATGAATATATCTAAGTTTTATTTTCTATCAAGATTTTATTAAAAAACATAGAATGAATAACATAAAATGTGTGAATGTATTTCTTATAGATAAGCCTGGAAAGAAGGGGAAGAAGAAGGGAAGTGACAGCGACAGTGATGAGGATTGGGGTAAAAACAAAAAAGCTCCAGGAAGCACAGCGAAGAAGGGTGGCGCCAAAGGCAAGGGAGGTGGTTACACACGCGCTATCACGCTATCTCCAGAACTTGCCGCGATCGTTGGTGCAGAACAAATGGCTCGACATGAAGTCGTAAAGAAAGTATGGAGTATTATTAAAGAAAGGAATCTTTATGTAAGTATTAATAGATTTAATTAATTAATTTAATTTAAAATTTTATATATCTTGTAATATTTTCTATATTATTTTATACCTTAAAAGTAATGTGTATATGCATGTACACATACATATTATACATATACTTTACTTGTATAGATATGTATCAATTGTTTCCAAAAAAAATATCTATTTTTACAGGACCCTAAGAATAAACAGTTTGCGATTTGTGATGAGGAATTAATGAAGGTAATCGGAGTAAAGCGTTTCAGAACTTTCGGTATGATGAAATACCTCAAAAATCACTTTGTAGATTAAATCATTCTTCAATCCCGATCTCCGACAAGTTATATACATATATAACATATTCCAGGGTGCATCTCGTGCATCTCTTCATCTTTCTCACACGATACATACATATACATAAAACACAAAGGTATTTCTTGCGACTTAAGACTTTAGACCATGTTTATACCATTCCGACATACTCTGCCGCCCATTGTAACCATTTTGTCCCTCTGATTACTGTAATATCATATTGACCTGTAGGTATTGTTATAGATATGACTTCCGACAAATATGTTGGGAATAGCGTTTGAATAATATCACATGTAATCATGTATGTTCTTTGATGGGGCTTCATTTAACATTGGGACAATTGTTACCATGGACGTTCAGATATTTTCGAAATGATCAACATTACAGTGGCCAATAGTCAATAAGCTGGTTTTAAGTCATCTAATTCAAAATAAATGTTATATCATTTGTATGGTCGTCATTAATAACAATATCTTACTCCTAATGCAGTAACATGGCGCGTCATTATAACAACGGCATTATTAAATGACAAATTAAAAATTAAATTTATATTTGAAAATAATTCTTTTGAAATTTGAGAAGTTTAGTTTTATTCCGTGACATTTCAACTAACCTATTTGTCGTATTGGCGGCACAGTTGCTTTCAATGTTTGAACATTAGAAAAATATTTTATGTTATTATCAAAGATGTTAACGCGATTCACTTTTTAGAACAAAAATCTGTAAAATTAACACTAGATTATGCATGATTTGTTGTTCGTATGAGAGTAACATGAATGAAGAAGTGTCAAGTTCGTATCGGTTGTATGTCAGAACGGTTTTCTCATGAAATCAAAGGGTGCGAATTGTCACAAATTAATTAATCTGATGTTGATTTTATAGTATTTTTGTCATTCCTTTATCCTTTTTTATATTGAAAGTACTTCTGGAAAATGGATGTATTAGAATAACAGAGTTTGCCTCCAGAATGAGGGAAAACGTGAGAACGTTTAAAAAAGAGAGAGAGAGAAATTATGCGGAAAATTAACATCCTGTACCTCTTCTGTATAATAGCTACATTATACACAAGCAAATGTAAGCAAAGTTTAATTGTATTATCGTGTAATTACTAATTATTGTCGTAATATAGGTTTCTTGGTGTAAAAATTGAATCTAACGTTTAAGATTAATGCTAAAACAATATATTCACTGAAGGTATCTTATAAGCATATTAAATGATTAAAGTCACAGTGCAGCGATCACTGACTGTTGAAGTGTAGGAAATAAAATACTAGGCTCACGAAGCGAGGTGCGGATTCTTAATCGCATACATCTATCTGAGCTTCGACATATGTAAAATTCGTGTATTTTGAATATAAATTAAAAAGAAATGCTGGCCTAAGTCACGAGGAAAGCCACACGAATATCATTGCAGTTGATGATAACGAAAGCACTACATGCATAAAATGCTATATGGATGAAATGATAAATTAGGATACCAACTAAATTCTTTCAAAGCAAAAAAAATTATTTAAACTATAATCTCTATGACAAAAATTCTTCAAACTGTAATGAAATGTATTTGGAAGTGTCATTAAAAAGTATTGCTTTCATTTTTTTTTAAACTGCGTCTTGTGTAATTTATTTTAATTATTTCCTAACGCTTTTAAACATGATTACAAAATATATACATATATATACATACATATATCCTTTAATATACCGAGTATATGTATTCATGTACATGATCGATTATTTACGATGTAAGTATATAACTGTTAATATGGCTACTTTTTATTTATTCCATCTCATATAATGTAATGTTTATTTGTTTGTATACAATATTTACTTGAGTGTCTTAGGTGATTTAAATTTTATGAATGTTCAAGCTCATCTAAGAATGATATAACATGCTGGTTATCATCCCGTCTACCTCGTAACCCAAACATGAATGTCTTGAGTTTCTTTGTATTTGTATAGTTATCTCTTTTTGTTTGAACTTCCTTATCCTGAGGCGGAGCTGCTTGCACGTAAATACCATATCGAAAGTGCGAGTTGAACGTTTGTGTGCTACGCGTAGCGCACCGACTTATGTTTGCCTGAGAGATAAATTCAAAAAGCATTTTTGATTCATAGAATTGAAAAGAGAATTATGCGCAATATTGCATAATAGATATATATTTTCTACATTTTTAATTGTCTCGTTTGTCTTTACTATGTAAACTAATTTTAATCTCGGTTTAATTTACTTTTTATATTTTTTTAGTTCTCAAAATTAAAAGAGAGAAAATAAAGAATAAATTAAATCGATATTAAAATTAATATACATTGATAGAAGTAGATGTCGGTACATTAGAACTGTATAGATAATGATGTATTAAAATATTGAAAGTCTGTAGAGAATTTAGATTTTTGATTCCTCGGATTTATAAAATCTTACCATTCAATTCTTTTATAATCAATAAATGATTGACTTACTAAGCGTAATGCTCTTCGTTTCAGCTCCCAGATACTGGAGGTATAATCTTTATCAATATAAGGTGGAAGTATATGAACGTCCGTTTGAACCTTCTGATCATGACGAATTTTCAACCGCAATCCCTTTTCCGTTAATCTTGAAAAACAAATTTTTTTATCTTTCTCACTTAAAGAAGTAACTGAGATGATAATTATGATTATAGTTGACTCACTCTTCTTGATTTTGCATGGCTTCAATTTCTTCATGTAATTGGAATAAATGAATATATTCCGGATGATTGCGAACAAAATTGAGTGCTTCATAAACATATCTAAAAAAAGATTTTGAAAAATTTCTGAATTGTTTTCATTTATGATACAAATGTACCTGTCGGGATTTTCTCCAAACTTAGCAGCTGATTCGGGTGATTTAAAAGCATAATATTTTGCTCGCCATTTTGCTACACCGTTGTTTGGATTTCCTGGTATTAGAGCTCCTTTACCCGTTGCAAATGTCCATGCACAAAATCCTAGAAACTGATATATTTTTCGTATAATTTTTAGTATAATTTTTTAAGTTGCTTAGAATTATAGAAGTATTAAATATTTTATTGCGGTTACTTCTAAATTAATCTTCTCGAAGTCTTTGGTAACATTTGGATAATATATCAGGCATTCTCCACATTCTGCTATAAAAATGGAAAAGTACAGTGTATATAAAGATGATTAAAATAAAATGGACGAGCAAATATTGTTTACATTTAATATTTATCATAATTTCAAGAACTTTCAATACTTATTAAATTGCCCATGGAACGTTCCAATCTCTCAGCATCGGTTAAAATGTCTATATTCTCTACTATATCTTCTAATTTTGTTTGATCGTAAGTATTCACAGCCTGTATAATTTAAGTCATTTCAGATATTTCCGAAGATATGAATAGATCGATAGTAGGTGAAATCATTAATACCTTATTACTCAAACTTTGTAATTCCCACAGGAAATTATTAATGCTACTCAAAATGATCACTTCATCTTGTAAACTCATCCATATATCCGCCAGATCAATAAATTGCGGCTGATAGATAGAGGACATATTAAAACATGATTATAGATAGACAAAGACATATATTAAAACATAATTGTATTATAGCGGAAAATGGAGAATTCTAAAAATTTGATTTTAATAAATATTTAATTGCTATTTCTTGCATTTCAGAAAAATATTATATTTTTCACAAAATTCTGTTAATAAAAGAATTTTAATAAATGAATATCTCTTCCATACGGAGAGATAATAACAAATTTAGATGAAAATAGATTTCATTTAACTGAAATCAAATGTTCTACAATTTTTAATTTTTGAACATGATAAATGCTATCAGAATAATCATATGAGACGTTAATGAGACTACGATTTATCTTTTTAAGTGATAATGACAATTATATTTACATAGACTTGAGTAGTTGGAATAGCCGTTCTATATCGAACAGTGTCATGCAGTTTAAAGAATCGTGCTTGAAGACGTTCCATCAAGTTCTTCACCGCGTTCTCGCTACGCTTCACATCACTCAGCAACTTTCTACGATAAAATCGTATTAGAAATCGCGTCGATTGTCGATCATTTAAGTATCATTTCTCTTTCTTCGAGAGGAACCTGATATAGATCTCTTGCTGACGACTAGCCGTTAACATTTCGATAGCCCACTCGATCTTTTCTCCTGCGTCAGATTCCGCTTCTTTCGAGCCGCAACATACAATTTTTGAAGCTGAGTCAATCGTGATTGCATTTTCCACGATGGCCGTAAACTTATATATCTTGGCCATTAGAGGTTCTAACAACTCGAGGATAGAATTACGAGTTTTCGTTATGGCTTCTTGTAAGATGCTCGGTACTGAAAAAAATTATCATCTCAATAACTCTTGTAACACAAGAAGCATTTATGTAGTTATATCCTTCACAATATTTAATGTTTCTATTTAAAATTATTTTAGGCCAAGCTTTCGGCCAGATTAAAAATTATTCTGACAAATTATTCTTACAATCGTCAATTCCCTCGCCACCACGTTGACAGTCTCTGTTAAATAAACGAATTCCGGCAACTAGACACATTAACTCCATCAATTGCTCCTTTTTCTCTCGTTTTGGCAAAGTTATATAGTGAGCTAGTTCGGAAGCTTGGAAAACGCTCTGCAACGCCACTGAAACTTCCCTATAGAAAATACATTTTTATATAACATATATTAAATTTTACATTAGATAAATATATACAATACATTTTGATATGACTATTATTAAATTTTTCATTTTCTGTATAGTTTGTGATAAGGACAAATTTTAATCTGATGAAAATATTGTTTTTATTTGCAACAATATCTGTACAAAATAAATTTTCTACAATCAAGAAGATGGAAATATGAGATGGAAAATTAAATGTCATTTCGTTTAATGATTACCTCAAAATTGATGAGATTGTAGGACTTCCCAGACCACTCAGAAGTGTTATCACTACTAATATTTTTTGATACAATTTCTCCGTATCCTTCCCAGTCTCCAATTTGTTAGTTTCACAAATTTCGGCGACCAGAGGTCCGGTTTTTTGATGCAACCGTAACCGATGCTTTTTGACAATTTCATCTGAACGAAATTTAAATTCGTATAAATAATAATTTATATATTTGGAAGAAATTTTAATTAAGCTTATTTTTACCTCTGTCATGATAATGCTTAGCGAAGTACAACTGATTTTTCAAAGTTGCAAGACTAGGTTTGCTCTGATCGCACAGCCTCTCTGTTATGACTTGAACCACTTTCATATTACTTCCCTCGTCGTTTTCTTTTATTCGATACGCTGGATTTAATTGATATAAAGAAAGCTGAAAGTTTTTGAGAACATTGTGAACATTTAAAATTTTTTAGAATTTTTGCGTTTTAATAATACTTCGTCGGTTATTAAATTACCAGAAACGAAGCCAAGTCCTTGGTTACTGATATCTCTTTCACTTTACATTCGCTTATGATTCTTTTTGTCAATTCTTTTCGCACACTATCCATTGTAAAAGGCAAACGAAAAAATCACGAGGTTCCTCTAATTAATTTAGGAATTTGCCACCTGCCACAATTGTAAACTCAAACGAAACCATCTACCAATAAAGTTTGATCGATACTTACGTTGAAATCATCTACGTTACCAACGTTTCAACACTTTTTTAAATTCTTTTAATATTTTTAAATCCGAATAATATAAAAATAATAAGTAAATCTTTTGTAATAAATTTTGACATATGAAATGTATTATCGCGCTTAAAATATTTCTTATCGATTATATAATCGATTATAATTATTATATGTTTTTCATACAGAAAAATATACAAACATAATACATTTTTACTAATTAGTACAACATTTATCATTGTTTTATTTCTTTTCATAATAATATTTACGATTTACGATTTAACATAATTGTGTGTGAAATAAAAGTAAGCAATGCAATATTTTATAGAAAATAAACAATAACTTTTAAAAATTAAATTTCTTAAAACCAGGCTTTTAATCTGAATATCACAAAAATGAACAAACTAAATCACTTTTTCATAGGAATAAAAATAATATTATCGAATTCGCCGTTTGAATCTCGTGCGTCTCGGCGCGCTCGCGATCGTGCGCGCTCGGCCGTTCCCGCCGCGCCTCGACTCTACGTCGCCATAGTGGGGGAAAGGGGCGGTCGGCCGACTTCAGAGGTGTCGCAACGGTCTGCGCGTTCGTAATTCGGCGTCAGTCGGGCTGGGTGGTCGGTAACGTGAGTGTGGTGTGTGTGCGCGCGAGCGACAGACGCGAGACAGCCAACGTGCAACGAGCGTGTGTCGTGTCACGAGAGGCATCGTGTTGCCATGACGTTAGCGTGAGTCGCGGTTGACGCGTTCAGGCAGTCTGTCAGCGGAATTGAGTCTCAAGAACATGGCGCGCGATTCCCGGCGCGCCGATCCGCGACGCGTCGTCGCCGTCGACAGCTGTGGTGGTAGCGGCGGCGACGGCAGCGGCGGTGGCGGCGGCGACGGCGGAGGCGGAGGCGGGGGCGGAGGCGGAGGTGGTGCGACAGCGAGGTGCGGATTGCTGATCCTTCTGACGTTGCTGACGATCATCATCCCTGTCACTTATGCCGACAGTCAAGGTGAGTCACGCGTCATAATTCGTTTTTGTCGTTACATATTACGATGCGTAGCTTTCATTAACTTTTTCTCGCGATGACACCTCAGCTGATCTCTCGTGTCGGCAATTGTACCTTACGGTTGTTTACTCATACATCATTCGTGTATCATGTGTCGTTTAATTCGATTTTATAAGCGTCGGAGTAGATACTGGAGTCGATAAAGAAACTGTACGAGAGTACCATATTGAAACTGACGTCAGGAAGAGAATTGATTCGCCTTGTACTTTTTTGGTGCACAGTTTCAAGGTCATTCGAGATTGGCTCTGTTACGCTTCATTGTTTTATGGATCGTTATATTCTCCTGCTTTATCATACGCGTTTTCCAATGTTAAATACGCGCGAAAAAATATTGATACTATTTATTCTTACACGTGTCGTAATGTAACGTCTTTGTTTTGAATTTGAAAGGATTCGCGAGTGAATTCATGCAGCAGCGATCACGTACATTATTTACGTCGCTTAATCATGCAATGCTTCATTTTTCCGCGTTTTATTCGCGATTTACATCCTCGATACAACATGAAATTTTAATTCTTCGATAATCGCGCGTTATAAGTGTGTGTATGTTTAAATAAAATTTATTGTTCCAATTTTCTTGTTAATTCCTAGATTTTTATTTCTCACATTTTGCTTGTGAATATAAATAGATAGTTGAGGATTGAGAGATTAGTAAAATTAATGCAAGCGTCAGTTAAATATATATTTGAGAAGCAAATTGCATATGTGTATTCTTCAAGATCAAATTATGCAATGATGTGTGAGAGCAAAAGAGAGCGAGAGTTACACAGAAAGAATGATTTTATTTAAATATCTAAAAATTTGGCTACAAATTTGAAAATAATTTTGTTTGAGCATTAAAATTATTATGCACGTTGAAATGTGACAACATACAATTTTTAATACTATAATAATTTGAATTTATCTTGCACAATTATTTACTAGTAACTAAACAAAATTATTTTCAAATCAATAGCTATCTAAATTTTTTTTAGTTATTTCAAATATAATAAAGCTGTTTTTTCCATGTAATATTCGTTCAGTTTTTAATTTCAATATTTTAATTTTAAGCAAAGAAATTTCTTTTCTTGATCAACGGATCATCGCGCGATCCTTGTATGATACATCGATCGATGAGTTTGGTTTTATTCATGTCGCATAACGACATGCATTGCATTTTTATGGCCACGCAACTAGCAACGTCATTGTCTTGTGATTTCGTTTAGAGCACATGTGACCATCATTTGCGCTAAACGATCCACATTGTTTTTTCGAGGAATTCTTATCACGAAAACAGGATACCTTTGCACGTTGCAATGTCGCGTTGCCAAGAGCACATCCCTTCGTTAATCGCGTTTAAATGTCGAACTATTTACATTATACGTGTTTTATATTTTCTGCTTTTTTGCACTGCTATTCCATTTTGCAAATGAAGCTTAAATTCTATCGAGACATTTGAGCATTTTCACGAAAATTTTATGCATACATCTTTAATATGTGAAACAAAGTTTGCAGTATATTTAAATATCAAATTAATTTTTACACAGTACAGTGTACATGCAGTTAATAATCTGCATAATCTCGTTCTTTATTTTGATATTAATTTTTGCAACTTTTACAATTTTTTTCAATTCTTTTATCGTTTTTTATTAATATGTGTAAAGTTTGAAATATAAAATCTAACGCTTCGTGATTTTATTCATAATATACGAGATAGATTTTCCAACAGAGAATAATTTTTATTTCATATTTCATCGTTAATTATATAAATATAAATATTGTGCAAATACTTATAATATTCATTAACGATCGACGTTCAAAGGTTCGTGCGCAAAAAAGAAAGCAATTTTATATATGTAATCCCGAAAATTGATATATTAATTTGACTGCTTATCGAGAAAATGATATGACATAAAATGATATGAAACGACGTATTAAAAGCTACATGTTTCTAAAATTAGCATTATGTAAAATTATGAATATTTTACTTACATTATATATACTATTCGGATCTTTTTAACATTATTTCGTATGATTTTGTTTTCGAATTATTTTCCATTATTCGTGTCGCAATTGTAGCATACCTTTCAAAATAATATGCTCATATTATTATAATATGCTCGTTATTGTGACAGGAAATAGAATATAAAGAAACAAATAGAGGAAACAACGATCGTAAACTCATTCTATTCACATTCCTTAGAAAATAATGTCTTGTAGTAAATTTCGTTGCAAGAATTACAGCGTGACAGTCACCGCGCTTACGGTGAGAAGGACGCAATGAATCACAAGTTTCTTTGTATCGACGACCTTTCCAAGGCGTGAGTGTAATTACGTAAATCGGCACGTGTACTCCTAATGACTTATTCATTGTAAGTGAGACAACAATTGCAACTATCGTCTTGGAGCTTACGTAATTTTTATTAAATATAAAATAGCTTTCGTTCGTAATATTTCAATAAAAGAGCGTCTTTTTAAATAGAAAAATCACAGTTAATAACTTTAAGTGCAAATTCCGCTCATTAGTTTGAATTCGTCATATCGATAAACGAGTTAGCGTTAGTGCAGATTTATCATTTTCCTAATTCTGAATCGCGAGTCGTTTTTTCGGATGAACAGGACATTTGTATTGATTAAGGTTTAAATTAAATTTTAACCCGAGGATTCCTGTCCGATTGTTATAGAGAGTTATTAAATGATGAATTGTCGCGATTGGTTCCGCAGTTCGACGTGAGTATAAATAATATTCCCCGCGTGTAAAAAGGAGGTCTCAAGCGAGAAATGAAAGCACCCTGACAAAGGGCGCCTTTCGGAATTTATGTCCATTGTTGGACTCGGAGGTGGGGGATCCACCAGTTCGTCAATGCAGTCGATAAAAATTTATGGGTGTATGTTGAATGTAAATGCGATGGCGGCGCAGGGCCGTGCGTAAGATTTATAGGGATTTTACATTACGATTTATTTATTCTTTCCGGTCACGCGTGAGGGCGAGCGCGCGCCGGACCCCCAAAAATGGTCGGATTTAGATTCCGTTTGTCTTAAATCGATCGCATCGCGAAATCCTCCTCCATATTTCTTCGTATCCGCAACGTATAAAAGTAACACAATTTCTCTCGCGCGATATTCGATATTGAAAAGAAAGAAGGAGATAAAGGAGAGGAGAAAAAGAACATAAAGAGCTTTACATTATAATGTAATTATACGAACGTATATCATCAGCACAAATCTCCGAGATAGTTAAATCTGCCGAGCTTTCGTACAAGCGCTATGCTCGCAGCTGCATGAAAAAGCCGCCAGCTGCAAATGAGTAATGTCAGAGTGCCCAGGCGATATGTAACGTGGTGGGAAAATGGTTAATCGCACTCGCAGTGGAGACGGAATAGAGACGTATAAACTTTATGTCGGCGATACGCGCATATCCCCCTCCCCCTTTCCCTCGCGGAGGCTAAACCCTCTTTCCGTGCATAGTATATCACTTCTCTTTCTCAACTCGTAATTCTAGGAGATTCCGCGTTCCTCTGCCGCGATCATTTTTGACAAGCGGTTATCAAGTAACGGAATGCTGCCTTAAACCCTTTAAACGATTCTTCCACAAGACGGTCTTGTGCACATTGTACTTAGCTGTTCGCTCCTTCGGCTAAATTAGAAATATTCTCAAATCTCTCTTAGGAAATAAAATTATAACGAAATATTGACTTTATTTAGCGTCCGAGTCGCGCTCGTTATTTTCTCGTTCTTCTCGGAACTCTCGACAAGCCACGAGGATACTGGCAAAAAAACCTTGAAGCTGCGACTCGGTACTTCAGCGTGCTGAAAGTTGCGGATCTTATCTATCGCGACTCTCTTTCGCCATTCGATGATTTCTTACGGCATTCTCAACTCTTTCAGCACACATGCGCTGCCATATATCCTTCCATTTTAAATTACTGTAATCAAGATTCTTATCGAATTATAAGTTTTCTGAAATCTTACCTCTTACGTCTCGAAACATTTTAACAGAAGTGCCACAATAGCAAATCGTATATGTAATAATACTTTAATAAAAAATGTGTATATATTTTTTTTCTGCATCTTTTATTTCTTTTTAAAAATTTTATCATTTTGGTTTCGTAACCTTCGACGGAGTTTTCCATAGTATGATATTCAGAATAGGAATCCGCACACGTTGATGTCTGAAAGGCTCTGCATTTCCGGTCCCGATCCAAGAGTGCGAATCATCGCCAGTTGAGTCACCATCGAGCCGAACATCATTGCACACTCGGAACGAATGGATCGCTGTTAATCGATGATTAATGCGACCCTCTCGACGATGCCGACTTAGCTGAGAGTGCTCCTTCGGGTCGTGTTATTCATTAAGCTCGTAATGGCGAGTGGCATCCAGAAGGTCGATTGACGATGACTTCCGTTCATTCGTCGCTCTATTTAAAAGCGAACCGACGATAAATTGCACCTTGTTCGCGAAGATGTTTTGTTGCGCGAAGAAAATGTAACCATATTTCTATTATAATTTATGCATGAAGTATCGACATCGTCCTATAAATCACGCTTATCGTGAAGGCTCTCACTGCCACTCGACGAATTTCAGATCGAGTTGTATATTGAACGAAAGCTCAATGACAGGTTTATTACATCTCTTTCACTTTTATGTAAAAATTTGTCATAAAATCTACATGTCTTCTTTATGTGTATATATATTCAGAAAATGTTTGTTTTTAGAAAATTACTTTTTTCGTATATCAAATTCATTGTTGATTGATTGTACCACGTGTGATAAAATATTTTAAAAAATTTTCTACACAATATTTAAAGGAATACCAATTTACTTTTTCACAAATATTTGTTGCTTTTGTAACTTCGCGAACTTTTGCATTAAAAAATTGATTGGATAACATTTTATTTGAACGATTTTAATAACACGGTAATACTGGAACGCAGAATAACAGAATTTTGTATTTGAATTTAAA